TGGATAGTGTAGTTCAAAGTGTTGGCGCTTCTGTGACATACAAATTAAACAGTGCAAAGGCTGTTATGGAAATGATTGATTCCGTTTATAAAATAAATCATGAGAGTTCCACTCTTCAAGCTAATATCACTGAGGATGGTGACTGGGGAAAAGTTGAGGATTTGCCAAATTTTAATTTTTATGAAGCAGTTTTGCGTCAAACATGGTTTGGAAAAGACATTCATACATGTGGACAACACACCTACGATCTGAGTGATGCTAATATCAAACCTGTAAAAGCTACTCTTCAGGCGACAGCAGGACTATTCAATGATTATTTTCCACTGAGTAAATACATTGTTGAAAGTATTCAACAGCCACTAGGTGCTGTAGAGGCATATATGAATTTCACCATAGCGTCTCCACAGAAATGTTGAATATTAAAGTATTTTTTTAAAGCCACTGATCGTCATTTGAGGGATTTTATATGCCTTGCAAACTTTAACATTGTGAAAGTTGAAACCCTAAAAGGAAAATAATTTCAAACATGGTTTAATTCTGTGCAGTATTTAAAATGATACGATGAATTGAGTCTGAAAATGTCTCAAAGTTCTTCATCCTCTGCAGACGATAAGTCAGCACCAAGCACCATCTATAAAATCTTTTGATGGCTCTTCTGTTACTGAACCCATGCCAGGATATTATCTACCGGTGATTTTTTGGTTTTGTTTTCTTAATCCAATGTTCCAACCTGGTGGGTTTTCCCTGGGTCCTCCGGTTTCCTCCCACTGCTAAAGACCCCTACGCGCAAGCGAATTATTGAAATAAAATTAAACCATATGTTAGTCCCGAAATGACCTAGTTTGTGTCGAGTGGACATTAAACCCCATTTCCCTCTCTCTGTTTAATCCAATGTTATATAATCTATTTGCGTATGTTTTAGTGTAAAGTATATTGTCCGGAAATGTTCATCAGCCGCTTTAATGAACTTGCAGTTGTGTAAGATCCTAAATGATTGACTGCAATAAAAAAAATTCTTACCCAAGGTAAATTATAATGTATATATATCAAAGAGTCATTCCGGGGATGCTTTGCAAAGTGGGGAAAAGTTGAGCAAGATACTCTGTCAAATTATCCTCTGTTCATTTTGGAATGGGTTAGCACCATTTTTTAACTGATGTTCAAGTATTGTGGAGAAAATATGTACACTTATAATTGCCAAGTGGTTCCTTCCCAATATTTCAGCCAAACAAATTTCAATCTTCTGATTTTAAAACTATAAATTTGAGCTCTTAAAATTGCCAAATTAAATTTCTAATGACCTTTTGCTAGTGAGTCAATGTATGGAACAATAACACAATAAAATATATGTAAATATTTATTTGTCAAGTAAACCGATTTAAATATTTCATCTTTTTCTGTGATAATTATGTTGAACAAAAGCCAAACATACAGAATAAATTTTAATTAGCACAATCATGGTATGATATATGATTAGATCTAGCAAATGAAGACACAAATTAACAAATGAATACACTATCTTTTTGAAACTAATCTAATTTGAAACAACTTTAGAAGCCAAACAAAAATTCAATAGAAAAGACAGAAACAAGAATATTTTCATTCATACCAAAAGAATCTTCTGAAAAATAGCTTATCTCTCTCTTACTAAATCAAATGGTGTTAGGGTAACTATATGATAATAATTGCAATACAAATTTTAATACTGACTAGATTGTCATTTTTACAGATTTAAATACATCTAAAAGATAGGTTGCCAGGCAACAAAAATACGCCCACAGCAACTAAATCGTCCGGTCAGTCAACAAGAGTTGTAGCATATTTTTTACTTTTGTCGCTAATGAAACATTTATAATACACTCAAATCTGATTAAGAGTAACAATTCATTAAGTAATTATCAGAAAATCATTAGAATTTGTCTGTCCCATGCTAACATTTAGTATACAAAACATTTAATACCATGGATTTAGCTGTTCAAGTTATCAAAAATCATTGAAAATCAATATACTTGTTCGTCTCAAGACCATCAACTCTGTGTATCAATCTAAAGTCAATCGAAACAATGTCAACACGGTGTATAAATATAAAATCATGACCTGATGACCTTAAACACTATGTATAAATTTAAAGTCAATCGGATATTAACTTTAGCCTTTAGAGCGTCCACAAGATTTTTCAAAGTTATCAAGGGCCATAACTCTGGCAGTAATTATCGGAAATTTGTAAAAATCAATGGGCTTCTTCGTCTCATGGCCTTATATACTGTGAATAAACTTAAAGTCAATCGGATATTAACTGTAGCCTCTAGAGCGTCCACAAGATTTTTCAAAGTTATCAAGGGCCATAACTCTGGCAGTAATTATCGGAAATAAGTGAAAATGAATGGGCTTCTTTGTCTCATGGCCTTATATACTGTGAATAAATTTAAAGTCAATCGGATATTAACTGTAGCCTCTATGGTCGGGGGCAACAACAATATAAAACCACATTTCAATGTGGGCTTATAAAAACAAAATGAAGAATATCTCAAAGATAACACAATCTTGCATTATTTAAGCCAAATAATAAAGGCAAATACCAACCAAATAAAATGAAAATAAAACAAAGGCATGCGACTCGATGAACGAAGCTAAACTATCCCACAGAAGAATACTACCATTGTAGACTAGAATAACCAGATGCCAAAGACTGCCATTCAATTTGGACTCTTTGCATATTTCACCGAACATAACTAATTTCAAATTAGAGTAAAAACGGAAATGATTGACTGTAAAATCAGTTTATATACATTCATACCCTATTACACTATTATATGCGTTGCGACGCATTTGTGTCCATTTCTAGGTGCCAAAAAAAAGAGATTTAGCTCCTTTAATTGTATCAGTTCATATATTCTTATTGCTATAGCAAGTTAAATTATACAGTTGTTATTTTATTGAATATAAATATAATTAAATAATATATATAAGCTTGTATAAATATATCAATAAAGTATAGAGATATAAAATAAACCAATAAATGTTTAATATTTTGATATCAACAATATTTCAAGGAATAATAGGATAAACATTTTAAATAAAGGTCCACTGTAATTCCTGATATATTTGTCTATCTGTTTCTAGTAGCTTTATGATGAGATTATGTGTTAGTATTATTTCAACAAATGAAACTCAAAGTGGACCTTTATTCAACTCCAATACCACAAGTGCTAATTTCTCAATTATCTATTTATTAGGCTTTTAACTAATTAAAGCACGACCAATAATCTTTAAACTATATAATATATCTACATTCTAAATTTCATACTATTATGGACTGTGTTTAAACTCCACTTATAGTGATGTAAAATTAAAAAGTGAATAAATAATTTGTAAAAATGAGACTGAATCCCTCAATGTCTGATTATACAAGAAACATAATATGTTTATATGATAGAAATATAAGTACCTGTAACAGTATAGCAAAGTCCAAAAGGGTCAGTGTGCCCAAGGTTAGATTTGTCGTTGATTCCATAATGTAGTATGGTTTTTGAATGTTTAATACTGAGTAATTCAACATGGCGCCTGAGGGGTTTAATATATTTAGGTTAGTACCAAATAGTTTAATTATATGACAGTCAAGGTTCGGACTAAAATGCCTTGGAAATCGGAAGTGGGAGGCGAATGATATTTGTCTTTCTTTTTTAGATCGAGATGAGATTGTCCGTTGAATTAACTGGACGGTCAACTTTCTACCTCTGGGCGTTCCAACTTTAGATTTATATTTAGCCTCACAGGTGTTACCTCAACATCCTTGTCTATATACCAACCTTTTATTGTTATGACGAGTAACATGTCTCAATCCAACACAATGCATCGTAGTTAGCATAAATATGGACACTAGCACATAATCTAAACCATCAGTCATCAAATCTCTGTACAATCCGAGTAAGCAAGCTACCAACCCTGGTAATAAATTCACAAACGCCGCCAAGAGACCAACCCTGGTAACCCCGCCAATTAGTCACCATGGAAACCCTGGGGTTTCTGAATAGTATAAATAAAAAAGCATGCAAAGCGAGACCAATCAGTCAGGCTGAAGAGTTCAATACGAACCAAACTAGTCACTGATACTCAGGGAAAACCAGGTCTTCATAGCCACTCTTATAATATCTGTAACAGTATTAAAGCAAACAGACTGATGTCCAATGCCTGAAACCCAAAATAATTAATTACTTGCAATCAAGCAATCAAACTGTTTTCATTCCCCCTCATTTAGAAGCTTGATTTATTGTGTTCAAAAGTCTTTGGCAATCAAATCGCTTATCTCCGCTTAACCCAAGCAGAAAATACTGATCATCGAACTCAGTCAACAGTCAATACATTCACATACTGTTGAACATCATCTACACCAAGCTTAAACATTCTACCTCAATTAGAAGCAGAGTTATTGTGTCCCAAAAAGTGGGACAGAGATGCAAAAAACATCTTTTAATAATATGTAGATTTTAGAAATAGTTGAAAAAAAAAGAAGCATGAAATGAAATGGGGTTAAACGTCCTACTGATCTGCTCCGCTGGAGATAATGAAGACGGGCATACGCCATACAGTGTGCTACAAGGGAAATTTTGCCCGGGCAGCAACACTATGGCCTACACTTATATCGAATTGCATCTGCCAAGGGATCTTTTATGCGCACGCCAATGTATACACAGGACCTCAGTTTTTTGTCTCATCCAAATGACTGGACAGCTGTCCTTATCAGGCCCTCCGTCCTGCAAAACTGACAAGGGGAAACCACGTCGGAAAATCCCGATGAACTTTCTTGGCCAATGCAGGGAAACACGCGACCTCCAGGCTAGCGACCCAGCGTCTTACCCACTTAGCAAGTATCTATAACATAATAAAGGTTAATAACAAAGTAACAAATAATAGAACATGCAAATAGTTAAACATATATATCTATTCTATAAAAATCTTAATGTTTGATTGATACCCACAGTAAGAATCCATTCCATCCTGTTGAATTTCAGGTCTACAAATCCTTATCTGAGATGAATCCACCCATCCATTCAATCGATATAGGTGATACAAATTGTTAGTTTCTAACTAATTTACTCAAATCTGTGAATTTATAACTGATTTACTGAAAAATTGTTAGTTTTAACTAATTAAATGAAAACTGAACATTTGTAAACCTGACGCTTTTCCATGTGTATATACACTATATATATAATACTGATATAATGGATTTGAAAGCAAGTCTAAGCTTATATAAATTCATATCCCTGGCTACATTTAAACTAGACAGGTCTTTTGTTAATTCTAAACAATTGTTACAACATTCTAAACAGTAGTCTCGTAATTAACATGGAACACAGTAAATTCAGAAAACCTTTTCTTAAGTGTAGTGAGTTATCACTGTTTAAAGCTGCCGATCATTTGAGGGATTTTGAAACAACAATATTGTGAACGTCGAATCTCAAAAGGGAATATCATCAATCTAAAAATAGTTAATTCTGATTAGCTACAAAATAGCTACAAGATAAACAAACCAGCACCACCTATATAAGTGTCGGATGGAATTGTTTGATGGGGCCTTTTTAAATACAATTGAATCCAAGTCGAAAAATTATATATACCATTGATATTTTCTTTTCTTAATCAAACAGTAAATAATAAATCTGAGTAGATTTCAGGGTGGATTAGCCGTGAAAAATTAATTATTGTCTACAAAAGGCAAATGATGATCAGCTTTAAATCAAGATAAATGATACAAGATATAATTGCAAGCTTTAATAACATCTTTTCATTTTTTCTTAATTTTGTTTTTGTTTGCTTGACTTTCTTTTAATTTTAGATAAACCTCATGATCTTCTTTCATAAGACACCATGGGGTAAAGTCTAAATCACATTTTAACTTGACATTTATAACTGTTACATAGCCATCATCAATAGTTAATTCATGTTTACTATCCACTGTATAATCAACAGAATTCACTCCTGTTATTTTATCTAATCGTCTTGTTTTCTGAAATAAAGATTAGAGTAATATAAGTTGAAGAAATGAATGTGACTTTAAGGGGTTGGCATAAATGTGTATTGAAATAAATGTGACCTGAAGTGGTTTGTCAAAAATGTGTACTGAAGTTAATGATTAGGAGGGGTTTGACATACAAGTTTATTGAAACAGATGTGTATTGAAACTGATGTGACTGAAGGAGGTTGGCATAGATGTGTATTAAATTAATTTTAACCACTGTATTGTCTGTCCTAACATCATGATGACTAGATATGGCTTTTTTTATATTCATACACCAGTGGCGTGCTGGGGCCTCCATAGTAGGGTAGACAGACCAAACTTATGGCACTTATTGGGGGCAGGGATATTTGGTTCTTTGGCACATACTAGAATCGAAGAGTAGATGAAAAGGCTGCAGCTGTCCGGGTAATATTTTCCTTGTAGCAGACTGCATGGCATTGCCCTTATTCATTAGGCTGGTTGGCGTAGAAAAGAGATTAAACCTCATTCCATTTGATTTCATTTCTAAACCTGAACTGTTAATCAGATAATTTCAGATTTATTTCATTCCAATCAATGAAATGGCGATTGAGGACAGACGAAAATATCAATTCAAACGAAAGCTAGGTCATTCCTTCAATCTAGTTTACTGTTAATTAAAAGTAGAAACAAGCAATTAACCAACTCAATAAATGTGATTGTTGCTAAAATAAACATTTTATTGTTCTTTTTAACAAGACAATTTGTATTATTTTACGTAGTAATTTCGTGTAATTTTACATACAGTTAAAACAAGACAACAGATGTTTGTTTGATACCCTATTCCAAACAAATGGAAATGAAATAAAATGTGATTTACTGGTAATGTCCTACTGTTCTGAAATCTACTGGGCTAATGAATACGGGCATACGCAATACACTCTGCTATGAGGGAAATGAAATGAAATATCTTGCCCGGACATCGCGCTTCTTTAACATTCACATAATGACTGGTCGCTATTCTTTGCCCGTCCTCCTTTGTGCACCCCGTGGCATTTTGGAGCCTCATAAGTAGGGTTGGCATACCAAACTCAGGGCACTTATTGGAGCGGGGAGGGACTTACCCTTAGCAGAAAATGCTCATCTTCAAACGCCTACACCAAGTTTGAACATTCTACCTCAATTAGAAGAAGAGTTATTATGTTCTCGGCCAATCAATTTGCGTATCGTTTTGCTTACTCTGAGCAGAAAATACTCATTAGCGAACTTAGTCAAGGTATTGATGTAGTGAAACTATACACCAAGTTTCATCACTCTCACTCAGTTATTGTGTCCCAAAGCATCAACCAATCAAATCGCTTATCTCTGCTTACCCCAAGCAGAAAATATTCGTCTTCGCACTCCATCAAGGTATTCACATAATAAACACATACACCAAGTTTGAACATTCTACCTCAAATAGAAGCAGAGTTATTGTGTCCCAAAAAGTGTGACGGACAGACAGACAAACTCATTTTAATAGTCCACAGCTTTCTTCAAAAGGCGGGGGGACAACAAAGAAAAATCAATTGATTTTAATTATTATGGAAATATATACCACACTGTGAAATCTAATCTGGAAGCCATCAGTGAAAATCAGCGCCAGGTTAAGCTAGCTTAAAATTTCACAAGGGCAATTGCGTCAACAGTAAAAAAAAACAAAAACAGGCATATTCTGGTCATTGTTTGTCTTGCACAAATGCAATATGTATGTCGGTAGGGTTAATAGATAGATTTATTTGGCACAACATAATAAATCAATTCATAAATTATTATTTAGAACTAATTTGGGGACCACTTTAACACTAGGGCTCCTGTCTGCACCCTGGTCAGCCCCACCACTTAGTATGTAGAAATTTTTGCCCAACGCCCACACATTTAGATCCAGGGCCAGTTGTTTTCAGTGGTGGATCATCAGATAAGTTTTAACTGGTTTCCTGTTCCACTGAGGTTGAGAGCCAACAAGCAAGGAGGATTGATCAGTGATGCATGTACATACATTGAGCGTGATTGGTTTTTAGTTTCGCTGGATCTGTTTGGAACAAGGGAAGGGCAGCAGGAAGAGGGGGGGGGGGCAATCTTGTCAGTGGGGCAATGGAAATATGATGACATTGACGTGGGCATTTCCATGATTATTTGCAGTAATTCTTTCGAATTTCGAGGGCACTTTTTCAGAAGAGAGGGCAGTTTTATGGAAGGAGGATTGATCAGTGATGCATGTACATACATTGAGCGTGATTGGTTTTTAGTTTCGCTGGATCTGTTTGGAACAAGGGAAGGGCAGCAGGAAGAGGGGGGGGGGCAATCTTGTCAGTGGTGCAATGGAAATATGATGACATTGACATTTCCATGATTATTTGCAGTAATTCTTTCGAATTTCGAGGGCACTTTTTCAGAAGAGAGGGCAGTTTTATGGAAGGGAGGGCACATAGCGACACATATATCCCAATACTCTGGTAGGAAATCTCATTGGATTCAAGAGTTATCAACCATTTCAGTTTTCTTTGTTTTAGTCTACCCTGCCTAAACGCCTCTATCATACACTATTTAAATATCAAGCAGTTAATCTTTGTTGATTAGTTTGTTTTTTTTACAGGTGTTACGTTTGACAAAAATGCCGCTTGACTTGTGGAACTACCTAGATTGTATATAAAATTTTCAGATGCTGAAGCATTTTTTTCTTGTAAAAATATTATTCTATTAACTACAAATACAAAGGTGATACAAAAGAAGAATATCAGTTTGTCAGCTCTGTGAACTGCAAAATAGCATAATACAAATAGCCCCAGAAAGAGTATACAAATCTTGCATTGTGCATGACACCTGTTACAAATGGAGTGACAATTTGGACCAGGATTCCAAAGCTGAAGCTATAACAACATACAATAAATAAATGAAATGAAATGGGGTTTAACGTCAACGTCCTACTGTTCTGCTCCAATAGAATTTTTGTTTTAGTTTTTCAAAGTGTATCCAAACTTCTATGAGAATAAGTACCTATTAATGAATTGAAAGCAGAATAATAAACTACTTCTTTACCTCTTTTTGATCAAAGAATCTACTTTTATCTCTGGTTCGACGTCTGTCATGTACATGTTTAAATGTCTGATTACCTGTTGTTATTCCAACTGGTCGTGTGATCTGAAAAAAACAAGTGGTTGCCATGCAAGATTCGCCTAAATTTTGCAAGAGATAAAAAAAAAGTTATTTTCCTACAATAAGGGGTCATAATCCATGATGTTACTGGCTGACATGCTTCAAAATCAAAAGGAACTGAGAAATTTGGGATATAAACATACAGCATATTTCAAGTTACATCAAAATCATCATTAGAATGTAACGGTGATATATTTGAAAGGTTTTTAAAATTAGACAAAAATTGTGACCTATTAAGCAGTGATTATCAATCATTGTGCCACTGCACAAGATCTTCCTAATTGTGCCGCAAAATTTTGAACAGCACACAAAGAAAATGTGAAAAACCAGGTGATCCTAACTGAGTATCTGGTGTCTACTGATAAGTTCATAGCTGCTTTTTTCTTCACTTAGTTTGAGTCATTCTATAATCTATGACTAGTCTCCATCTATGGTTGTATGCTGTTTGACATACCATATTTATATATTTTGCAAAATTCAGATATTTTGCATTTATATTTAGCCAGGTGTGCCAATATTTTTTCATGTGTTCCAAGGTGTGCCGTGCCATGGTAAAAAAAAGGTTGAGGACTACTCCCTCTAGACTGACCACAAGCAAAAAATGTGATTTTTTTTTCGTACAATCAGTGTCCATAATCCAGACAGTTATTCCAAGATCTGTGGTTTATAATAATCACAAATTTCAAGTTTCATCAAAATTGGATAATTATTGTGACCTTTAGTGACCACAAGCTTAAATGGTGATTTTTCATACAATCAGGGGCCATATCAAAAGGAACCGAGATGTTTGGGACATAAACCTATATTTCAAGTTTTGTCAAAATCGGATAAAAATTGTGACCTGTAGAGTGTAGATGTTGAGCGCAGATTACCCTCCTTAGACAGATTACTCCCGTGCATGCGCGAATCTCCGTCTAATCTGCGCGCGCGAAGTGAACTTTGTCCGGACTAAAATGGATTACCGCGATGACAATCCGCCTAATCTTACTCGGTATTCACTATGGATCAGTGGGTTAGTATTAGTCATTTTAATGATTACATTTTAATGAATTTTGTGACCCTCAGTTAACTGGTCGAGCAAATCGGAGCAAATCGATACGGAAAGAAAAGTATCACCGCATTTGACTACCAGAAAAGAAGCAGTAGAAGGGCTTTTGAGTTATAAAGCAGTTTCCATCGAGAGGTCTACATGACATACTTTGTTCACCTACATACGGGCCTCTAAGACTTCGTTACTAAAGTAACTACGATCGGTCAAACGATTATTACACTACAGCAAATATTTTTGACATTCAGTCACAAGCTAATTATGCAGTGATTTTGAAAATTATTTCACTACAAAGACCACAGGAGGCAGGTCATATATAATATAATATATAATTGTGTCTGACACATTACAATATCTCTAAAAACATCAGGGGGTAATCAGCGCAAAGTTGGCAATCTGTGCACCAGCTTCATAAGCGCAGATTGCAATCTGCGCCTAACATACACAAACAAAATGTGACCGGATGCTGAATTTTTATTTTATTGTTAGTTCATCAATACTGGAAGGGTAACATATACAACAACTGAACAACAGTATATTTAATGGAATTTATAGTTATAATACTAGTATATAATTCTGTATTAACAAACCATAATGCCAAGTTTCTTCATACGAACAAAAAACTCATCATCTTCAAGACCCCAACCCCAATATTTATTAGATAAACCATTTAACTAGGGAATAAAGGAAAATCATTAGGCTATTATACATACAAATATAACCAATATCTTTAATTAAATGATGAATATAAAATTACTTAGTGAGATTATGGATATTATCAGTAGCCTACCATCAAACTGTTCTTAGTGTCACGTTTACCTTACAATAACTGATACCTGACAGCAGCAAGATATACATATATGCAACACTGTAATAATAACTTATTTAATAAGGTATAATGAATATTCATAGTAGAATCAGTTTCTGTTATGTCGTCTGTATACCTGAACCCAAACTTCCTCAGACTTTACATTTGCACTTATATCTAGGCATCTCTAAAGGTGAACAGTGTAAAATATCAAGTCAACTGATATCTACAACAATCACAATCTAAAGGAGTTTCAACATGCATTATTTCCAACATATTTGTTAAGATGAAGTCTGTAGCGAGGTGGACATAATTCATAACATAAAGGGGCTTCATCTTTTTTGCGTTACCTCTCGGTCAAATTAATTAGTAATTTGGGTTGATCCAATCTGTTACTTCTACTAGAATTATGGGCCAAGATCTGTACGATTAATAATTTGTTTTAAAAATTATTTTAAAAATTAAGTAATCTCGATTTCATTTTTGGCTTACTGTATCAACAGTGGGGCACAAATTAGGAAATATTTTAACACTGTCACCCGCTGTATCAATATGTATAGATAAATTTTCAATGAAGAGAATTTGTAATCCCACAATCAATTTAACATATAAAATTCAATGAAGTTGAATATTTGTTTTTTATTCCCAATTTCAGAGAGGGTTAGACCTTTTAGACATTCTACTCTTTAATACGATTTATCAGAAATCTCTTCTTTAAATCTACTGTTTATGATACTAACCTTTTCAAAATCACTGCCTTTCACTAATAGAATGCCACCAACAAACTTTTTGTAATGATATAAGGGATGTAACTCGGGTGCTGCAACATGAAAAGCTCCATTTTCAGGATAACTATAGCTCAGTGCTGGATTTAAAGGAAGAAGGTCAACATCATGCATAGCTATATAATCACATTGTGATTTACTTTCTAAAAAACCTATGTTGATCAAGGAAGCTCGATTAAATCTAAAAAAGAGAAAAAAATAATTTTGTCCAATTCGTCTAAAAAACTTTTTTCTGCTGAACATTATATGGGGGGGGGGGGGGAGGTATTGGACCGGCCATGGAGCCTGGAATGGGCTGGTATAATAGACTTTCTTGGCTAGGTTTGGGCCGGAATTCGGAATCCTGCAATGGGGATTCTGAATTTCATTCGAAAATATCATCGGATTCACCCAACACTGTCGCCCGCAAATTAACTAATTATTAAGTCACCTGCACCTTGTTTGTGGGGATACGCCAGAAACGTCTGCCGATGGTTCGTTACTCCAAAATAAATTCAATTTTAAGGCCTCAGCAAAATTTGATGATAGCTGGTCTTGAAGATACAATGATAATACGTTAATTAATAATATGACGATATGGTAATTTCACTGGTTGATGGTTGTAAATTATTTGCATGTCAGGGTTTTGGCCTAAATTAATCGATTTATCAGATATATTGTTTGACAGAGATTATAATCAGATATGCCACCAAATCGCATATTTGGAGTTCATTTTTCAAAATTTTCATGGGGGTAGCCCCCAGACCCCCCATCCGGGCTCTGAGGTCAGTAAAAGGGGCCGCTCCGATACGGGGGCCCGGGCTGGTTCCCGGCCCCAACCCGCCCCTGTTTTCTAGCGACAGCCATTCACAGTATAAAAGTGAAATACATTTCGTAACTATCCATTAAAACGATCTAAGCAGCTTACATAAATGGTTCAGGTCGAGTACTTTTAGATGAAAATTTTTGAGTATGAAATGAGTAGGTATCTGTAACTGCTCATGAATAATAACACGGAAGAGAAATAACTTAGGCAGATTTTGTTACCTTACTGTGGATAGAAAAATGCAAACCAAATTACATCACCAAAATGTATCCATAATTTTGGCGGATCCATTAAGAAAATCACAATACCAATGTAACGGCTTAGATTTATTTTATTTTATTTTATTTTATTTGGAGGTATTTGCACAGAACTTTATTTCACAAGGATATTTGTCCGTATTTGGTCTGATTATTTTTAATTATTGTTTTTTCTTATTTTAGTTTATTTTATTTTATTCGGTACTTTTCGGTACGTGCGCGCTGTATCATAAGGTCTGTCAATGAGTCAACTGGCGTGGTTTCGAATCCCCGGTTATACGTGACAAGGAGTAGGGTTGCCTGTCCAACCTGGTGGGTTTTCTCCGAGTCCTCCGGTTTCCTGCCACTGCTAAAGAACCCTACGCACAAGCGAATTATTGAAATAAAATTAAACCATATGTTAGTCCCGAAATGACCCAGTCTATGTCGAGTGGACGTTAAACCCCATTATAATCTCTCTCTCTCACTCTCTCTCTCTCTCTTTCTCTCTCTTTTAGTATAGAGGAACTTGTATGCGATTAAACTGGCTTCATTTACTTTAATAATTAAGTAATACTTCTATTTTAATAAATTACGGGTTATATAATAAACATGTTTTATTTCTAAGAGTATACTAATATAAATTGTGTTTCTAAATCTAACACCTGTTGAAATATCTTTATAGTCGCGTGTAGATATTGATGTTGTATCATAAAAATGCTCACGCGTGAGTTTCAGTTCCATCGACCGGTAAAACCCGTCATAATTCTGATTACAACTGTTTCAACCATCAAGTCATTGCTGATGCGGCAGTTTGGTTCCTTTGTATAGAGACTAAATACATCTTGATCAACTCCACTTTCATATTTTCTGGATTTTCTTATAATACCAGGTAAATACATTTAAATATACAGTTCGATGAGTTCTGAGAGTTCGATTATGAAAATACACATTAGAGAATAATTGCTGTACGAGATTTTGTTTGTGATGGTGCCTCAAATATCTAAAAATAGATGTTTAATGTAAGAGAGAGAGAGAGAGAGAGAGAGAGAGAGAGAGATTTATGGACTAACACATGGTTCAATTTTATTTGAATAATTTGCTTGTCTTTAGTGGTGAGAGGGGGTTTAACGTCCACTCGACACACACTATGTCATTTATGGATTAAAACATGGTTTAATTTTATTTCAATAATTCGCTTGCGCGTAAGGGGCCTTTGTCAGTGGGGGGAAACCAGAGGACCCGGAGAAAACTCATGAGGCTGGGCAGACGACCCTACTCCCTGTCACATACAACCATGGAATCGAAACTCCGCCAATTGATACAATGACAGACCGTATGGCCTGCTAACATCCATAAAGACTTCCACGTGGACGTTGGTCGTGTCAGGTCAATGCCAAGGCCGCCCATCTGTGGGTAATTATATGATAAGGATGTTTTAATCAATTTCATGTATGGAAGGTGTTAATTGGACATTTTTCTACATAATCCTCAATTATGTAACAGCTCCCGTAGTCCTTGATATGAAAACGAGATGTTTGTGGACTAAAATTCCCCTTTATTGAACATTTGTTTATGAAACATCGATATCAAAATTCTAACGACAATTCATATGTTTATTCCATATAAAACTAAAAGTTGAAGTCATGCTATGCTACTTGCATGAAATACTCTGTTTAAAGTTGTTATTAAGTCTTTAACTTTACACCATCCAAATTCTTTAACATACATTGAAAACAAATTATTTGCCAATTTAAATCAACATTGATGTTCTGATCTTACCAGGAAAACATGAGCTTTTGATATCCATTATTTAAAACAAAATAAACATTTTGCCATTGGTACACGAATGGTGTACCATAATGCCTTTCAGCGCCATTTGTAACAAGGAACTCGAAGAAGGGTGCTAGACATATTCAAGAAGTCACGTCAAACGGTGACGTCATATTCTTTTCTGAGGAGCATGCGCAATAAATACTATCGGTGTAGATTGAAATAACCAAACGCTAGAGACTTCCAATCGATTGAGACATCTGGCGTATTTCGTCGAACTTTGGATCTTAAGCTTTGGATCGTCCATATCCAGCAGACATTTCCGATAGTATGCAAAGGGGACCTAGGATAACTTAAGACGTGTGGATAAAAATGTTAATAACAAAACCTACTCTTTCATACCGAGTTCTTTGGTAATTTGGAAAATGGCAGATCACCAACTCTATATCACAAACTAATGTAAAAAAACTGGCTTATATTAATACGTGCTAACAAGTGTCACTACTTGAACTTGCGCGACTTATTAATATTTCAATAGATCATTATACCCCCGTCAAACTGGGGTGGCGTCCCTGCTGCGACGCTCCGTCGACGGAAAATGGCCACAGAGCGCGTCAAGATCTATATAAGCGCGGTAAAAGCGTGGTGGAAACGCCACATATCGTGCTGTGGTCTCCATGGTCGTGAATGATCGCCTAGTCACCGCGTTTGTTTTAAGCATGTTCAAAATAAAACCAAGGCTCTACGATCTAACTTGGAAAGTTGTAATGCCTCCGTCACACCTGGTGGCGTCCTTACTGCGCTGCAGCGACCAAACGGCGACCAGAAAATGCACAAGGTCGACGGCAAACGTGAACACAACGTACGAAAATGTCCCAAAATATTAAAAACTTAAAAAAAAAAAACGTTTTCACATCTTTCGAGGGCAGATCGCAGAACCTTGGCGTTTGTTTTGAACATGCTCAAAAAAACGCCGTGACTCGACGATCATTTTCAATCATCGAGGCCACAGCGCGATATCTGGCGTTTCCACCACGCTGTTACCACACTTACGGTCAATATTCCGTCGCCGTAGCAGCACTATCACTACAAAGGGTAAATGATGTAGAACAATGGACCAGATGATCGAGTGTACGGATATATAGATTACCTGACAATCAACATGAAAGTTTTACTGAATCAATAAATAAATCTTTAGATGTTTTTGATCAAATTGGTGTTCAAATGCCCCCCGAACACATTGATATTGCGCATCGTCTTGGTCCATTTAAAGTCGGAAAATGCCGAGGAATAATTGTTAAATTCATGTCTCGAAAGGACAAACTTAACGTTATAAAAAAATAGACGAAACCTGAAGGGATCCAACATTACTATCCGAGAGAACCTTACGCGTATAATCTCTCAGCTGTTGCACAAAACCTTAAATTCACCACTCGTATCTCAAACCTGGTCTATAGAAGGTGTTATTTACGCAAAATTGGGCAATGAAAAGATAATCAAAGTTTATCAATACACGAATTTTGAAAAAATCCTCGATGTTAAAAATGTCGGTTTCAAGAATAAATCACACACTGTACCCAAATCAATCCAGTTTGAGGGTAATGCGGATCTCACTCAAACAAAGACAAGTGGTATGGACGAATCTTATTATCATGACTCGACTGCATCACAGTCTAAAATCGAGCCCAAGAACAAATCAAACTCTGTTTTTGAGAGTACGCCACGTCAAGCAGGTCAACAGTCAACTAATCTAACCAGTTACTGCAGTCCCTTTGCAACAACCACTACTACAAGAGTCCAACTTACCTAAAAACCTATATCCTAAAATGGATTTATAAAATATCGTATTTCATTCCGTGATAATATGTTGTCTTATATTGTATTTTCCTTTTGTAGTTCCATTTAGCGCAACAGCAGCAAGTGCGTCCAAAATCATCAGAAAACACTATACTGATCTCCAAGAAAATCACCGCTGATGGTCTTCCTTGGGTGGTGCTTCTGGTATTCTGGTATTATTGTTTCTGAAGAAAAAAGAAAATAAATTTGAGGCTCTCGGGAGAGAGCCACATTAGTGTGTTTCCTACTACGGATTGGATTTTCTAAAAAAATCGTGTTTGTTCCACATCACCGGGTTAGGGCTAGGGATTCTTATATCTAATTGATTTTATTTACTAACGGATAGGATAGGATAGGTCTTATTTAATCTAATTTACTGTGCACTAGGATGTCGTTCAGATTTTTATTTTTAGAATATGCAATTATAAGTTTCTGTGTGAATATTTTCGGGTGATTTTCTTGGAGATCAGTATAGTGTTTTCTGATGATTTTGGATGCACTTGCTGCTGTTGCGCTAAATGGAACTACAAAAGGAGCTATTGCGCTAGCCGTATGAATATTCAAACCTATTGTCAATCCAGAATTTTTCTCTTGTTAGCCTAAACGTTTTAATTACTTCTGAAGTTTCAAAGTCGCTCTTGGTCTTTTCTATTTGCGTGACAATGAGATCAGAAATGTCATGATTCGGTTGGTTGAAATGAATTGAGACAGGTTTGTCTTTTTTGGTGACTATGTCTGACCGGTGGCCGTTAATTCTTTCCCTAAGTGCATTTTGAGTCTCCCCTACGTATTGCTTGTCACATTTTCTGCATGAAATTAGATAAATTATGTTTGAACTACTGCATGAAAGTTGGTCTAATATTAGGAATTTTGTGCCAGATGTTTTGTTATGGAAATGGTCGGATATGTTTAAGATTTTGCATGTTTGACATCTTGGATGGCCACAAATTTTGGTTTTAACTGCTGATTGTATATTATTTGTTTCTTTGGCGGCAAGCTCAGCGAGAGTGTTGTTTTTTATACGTCGTAGATAGCGTTTGGAGTATCCCCTTTCCCTTAGTTTGCTAAATTCTAATGTACATGCTGACTCAAAGTCGGTCTTCTGAGTACATATCCTATGAAAACGGAGAATCTGAGATTTTATGATGCCAGGAATGTATGTTTTGGGTGAAAGGAGCTTTTGAACAATAATTGATGTGTGTCGGTTACTTTGAAAAATATTTTAGTTTCCAATTGGCCTGTGATTTTTGGTGTTGCTACTTTTAAATACGGTAGTATCAAGGAATTCTATGCTGTTATGGTTTACATTTGCGGTTCATTTGACAGATGGATGATGATTGTTGAAAAACGTCCACAATTCATCTAGTGTGTACGTCCAGACTATGAAAACGTCATCTAAAAACCGCCCATAGCAATCTGGTTTTAATGGACAGAGTGGCAGAACTTCCCTTTCCCACTCCGCCATGAAGAGATTTGCATAACTCGGGGCAAATCGTTTTCCATTCGCAGTTCCGGAAGACTGAAGGTATACTTGGTCGTTAAAAGCGAAGTCATTCCTCCTCAGACAAATGTCGAGTAGTTTGAGGATTTCTTCGTCCGGCCTGGATGCTTGCGGGTTTCTAAGAAATGCTTTCCTAATTGCTTCAATACCTGTGTTATTATCAATGTTCGTGTACATGCTTTGTACGTCGATGGATATTAAAATGGTGTGTTCGGGGACTCTTAACTGTTTGATTTTCTGAATGAAATCGTTAGTGTCTTTAAGGTAGGATGGGTGTTGGTATGCTAGGGGTAATAAGAAATGGTCTATATATTGTGATACGTTGTATGATTCGCTGCCACAGTCTGATATTGTTGGGCGTCCCTTGAGTATTTTATTAGGTATAAACCATTCTGTTTCTGGATTTTTATGTATTTTTGGTAGTGTATAGAGATGTCTTTGTCGGCAGTCAGATTTAGCAGATAGATAATCATATTGTTTTGCTGTTATGTATTCCTTATCCTGCAATTCATATAAGATGTTGTTTATTAAAGTTGCGGTGTCCTTAAAGATGGGTTGGTCTAATTTAGTGTAATGTATAGGATTACTTAATTGTTTTTCTGCCTCTGAGATATAGTCTGCGCGATTCATTATGACACAACACGAGCCTTTGTCGCTTTTCTTAATTATTATGTTTTTGTTTTTTTTAAGGGTGTTTAATGCCGTTTTAGTTGCTCGGTTGAGATTTGGTTTTTGTGATTGTGGTTGAATGGATGATATTTATATATTCGACGAAAGTTTTTAGGATGGCTGGTGATAATGACTTTTTAGGTGGTTTCCATGTGGATTTTGCTGTGAATAATTTTTTACCTCTGCCGGGTTTGTTCCTAAAAAAATAAGTCAACGAAAGTGTTCTTTGGAAGCGATCGGTTGCCTGGGTGATGGGGTCTATGGATGTTATTGTGGGGGTTGGGATGAATTTAAGGCCTTTATCAAGAATGTTCATTTTTAGGGGGTTGAGAAGTCAGTCGCTCAAATTGACAACTGTCTGTCCTAAAGACGGCTTCTCATTCCTTTTCCCTAATCCTAGTTTAAATTCCTCATCCAGCAGTTGATGATCTCTCTGGCCGTGTCTGGGCTCCAGTGGATTGCGTCGTTACCTTTCAGTTCTATTTTGCCCTTGAAGGTTGGTAATGTGGTGGCGTTTGGT